AATACCACATTTACATTTTCAACCTTAGATTTTATTTAAAAATAATGTCATAACAAAAGGTTGATGACATTTATAAAGCAGAATAAACAATAAATTTTGAGCAAAATCTCGTGTCTTTATGTCTACGTTAGTATAGTGAATTTTGGTGATAAGGTACAAGTCTAATCCATTAAAATTCTATGCTTTCTTTTGTTTCTTTTCTTTAAAAATAAATTTCTTAAAATAAATATTGTTTAAAAGGTCAAACTGCACTTTTAAAACAAATTTTAAAGCTTCATTTTTGTGAAGCTTTCTTTCCATAATTTGATAAAAATCATTTTTCATTTTATAAAGTAGACAAAAATTCTCCTTTTGCACATGCCAAATCCATATTTGAAAAAAAAGTGATTATCTTTTAGCCTAATTGTGAAAGATTAAAGAAACATGATTTCTATAAACTAAAGATAATTTCATTACTGAAGAGGTAAATGCCTTTTAGTTTTATTCTTCTATAAAAATTGGCCATCTGTGACACATTTAAAATAAAACAAACCCACATTTTTTCTATTTCAAAAATACTAATCTTAAAATACTAATATTCAACACAAATGTAAAAAATGGGCCCTTGTAATTATTACTTGGTAAAAATCTTGACTTATAAAACTTTTACCTTTACATACATAAGCTTAGTTTGACTCCTGATAGTGCTCAGTAGTTTTTAAAATAATAATGAAAATCTTGGGGTTTATACTCAGGATTTGGACAACAGAGACCTATTTAAAAAAAAAAAAAGATTTTAAATTAAATCCATATGTGACTCAAATTATCAAAACTTATTAATAGCTGCTGTTTTGAAATTCATTACCTGTAAAAAATCTTAACTGTTCACATGTGTTTCTCTAGGTACCTTTTCTATATAATTTTGAATTTCCAATGAAAGCACCTAATTAATGGAAATAGTTTCTATTAGTTTCTGAAAGTATCCCTCAGTGATAAAGGAAAGCAACTTGACAATGACCTGTATTACCTTGCAGCACTTTGCCACCCACTGGTAGTTGATCAATACTGAATTTTTGTAGAGTAGTGGTGTTCAACTTAAATCTCAGCTAGGGTATTACAAGGCTGCCATTTGTCAGAAATACTAATCATCTTTAGGACTTATGTAGCCTATTTTCAAAGCATCAATCTAAATAGTTGCCATTAAAACAACTAAATATATATGTCTTATTGTCAGGAAAATAGAAGCTTTGTTTGAGAAAAACCAGACTCTTGGCTCACATACCTTTGTCCTAAGTTTCTGTTTGTGCTTTTAAATTCCTGATAATTAAACAACTTTTCTTAGGGTTCGACAACTGTTAATACAAAGAAACAACTAAAATAAGAGAATTAAAGAATGACTCACTCATGAATCAGGAGTTATTTTAGTATCTACTGGTATAATGTCTTATGCAAATCACTTTACATATTTTAACGGGATCACTTAATACCATAAACACTGGCACCTTCTCTTCAGCCTTATCCCCAATAGAAATAGATAGTGACTCAAAAGACCCAGTAAAAGCCAAGTAAAAATTACCTTTCTGTCTGCATACATATAAATGCTTGTATGCTATAAGAATTTATATCATTTTTCTTTTATTAATACTTTTTCATACTGGCCAGGTCTACATTGGTGACTTCTTCTGAAATATCCACCTAAGAGAAAGAAAACTCAGGGATGCTTCCCTTCAATGGTAAAATGATTCAGTTCTCCAAATAACATTGCTGGGGTCACTTCAGTAAACCTAATGACTAACTTACAGTCAAGGATGATTCATATTTTAAACCCTGCAATTCCACTTTACTGAAGTAGGAGCCTAGGTATAATGCTACTGTGATCGTTAAGATTGTGTGTCAACTTGGCTGGGCCACGATTCTCAGTGTTTGTTATGTGATCACTCCCATGATTGAGTATGCTATGAGTAGCCAATCAGATAAAAGGGAGTTTCCTTGGGGGTGTGGCCTGCATCTGAATATAAGCAGATGTTCTGGCTTTTTGCTCACTCTGGATCCTGTGGCTGCCTCCTGTCATCTCACCTCTGGTTCTTGGGACTTGAGCTGTCAGCTTATCTGCTGAACTTAGGATTCGTCGATCTTCACAGCCTGTGAGCAGAGCCCTGCTCTCTGACCTGCAGATCTTGGGTTCGCCAGCCACTGCAGCTACATGAATGAGGAGAAACCTTGCGGTCTTGCCTGCTGACCTTGGAATTCATCAACCTTCACAGCCTGCGAACAGAAGCCCTGCTCTCTGACCTGCCAATCTTGGGCTCACCAGCTTCTGTGGCTGTGTGAATTGGGAGAGGCCTCTACCCTGATCCATGGACCTAGGACATTCTAGCCTCTACAACTGGGTGAGCTGTTTCCTTGATATAAATCTATATATATTTATATGCTTTACTGGTTTTGCTTCTCTACAGAACCCAGCCTAAGACAGGTACCAAATTAATATTCTCTGAGGTCCAGCAAAATCAGGGCAGATTTTTAATCAGTTGTTCCAGATTATCAAAAGCTTCTCTTTACTGGCTTATTATTGCATTTCAATATCAATTCATGGAACACTGTCAATTCCTATACAACAGGCATCTTGAATCTATACCTCTTCTCACTTTTATATCTCTAGCACTAAGGCACTCCCTTACATACCAGAGGCACTCAGGAAATGTTTGCTGAATGGATTTGACTCAAATGTGTCAGCAAAAACTGATACAGAAGTAGATGCTAGAAGACAAAGAAAAAATCAGCATATAAGGCAATGAGATTCAATGACATTGCAATGAAGAAAATTCAGGGAATCTGATTTTCCAGGACAGCAATGCCAATAATTTGATATGATCACAAGCAAGGTGATCTAAGTAATAGCTAATGATGCTTCAAATAGAAAAAAAGAAAAAAAATCAATACAAGATTTGATTTTGGATGTCTGAAGTCATTTTGCTTAACATAACCATTATTGACTTCTAAGAACTTAGGGGAAAAGTGTGTCCTATAGTCTATCTACACTCATATTTTGTGCCTCAGATATTTTTTAATTGAATTTAAGCTAAAGTATGCTACTTTATTCTGAGATTCTTTCACGAAGATGCTGGAGAAAGGAATTAAATGAACATGAGATTAGTAGGAGGCAGAGATGAAATACTTTTTCTAAATACCATTGAGTTGATTCCAAAGTTACAAATTTTGGAGGAGGCATATGTAATCTGTCATGTTTTACTGCATTACTATCAGGGAGAACCATTCTCCTTATTAAAACTCTTCACGCCAGACTTATACCAGGCCAGACCTCAAAATATTGTTTCTACCTACTGCCAGTACCACTCACTGTTGTTAAGCTGCCACTGAGTTGATCCCAACTCCTGGCAACCCCACGTGTGCAGAGTAGAACTGTTCAACAGGGTTTTCAACACTGACCTTTCAGAAGCAGGCCTGTCTTCCAAGCTACCTCTGGGTGGGTTCGAATTGCCAACCTTTCAGCTAGTAGTCGAGCACTTAACCATTTACTCCACTAGACCTCAAAATATTGCTTGCCTCCCTCTACTGCCAGTACCACTCACTACATTTATTAAACACCTACTATGTGCTGAGTATTGTATCTGACATTTTACATGTATTTTCTGTAGTTCTCACAACAACCCTGCAAGGACCCATTATTTCTGACAACTGATAGATTAAAAACATTGAAATTCAAGAACACTAACTTTTCTAAGATTAGAGTTAGTAATCAGAACAGCCAAAATTCAGTCTTAAGTCTGCCCAACTCCAAAACCCAGACCCTTTCCATGATACCATGCTGTCACTTCTGAAACACCTTGATTCATTCAGGAAGAACATTTTCTGTAAAGCTACTAATATCTTCCTATTACTATTTCTTATATTGCCTCTTACAGTTGTTTCTGCTTACCAGCATATATTCTCCCATCTTCTGATAACAGAATTTATATTTTCTTGAGGAAACCACCCCTTCTCATTCTCTCAGTCCAAGAGAGATGGCTCAGGGGTTGGCAAATGAATCAGGTCTGGCCAGTCAGTATATTCCAGTCTTATCTGGAGTATGGTATAGGTATGGTCCAATAAGACTCAATTCCAGGGCTTTTGTTTGAACTGCTATACAAGATAATCTTTCACTGGTGTTGCTGAAGGATATGATGTAAACCTGGAGATGCTAGTAGTCATCTTGTTATTCTGAGCGCCTAAGAATGGAGCCAACAAAGAGGAAGCCAGAGATGCAGAGAGGTCTGATAAGTGTTTATACTCTGATCTCATGGCACCTGTAGCTAGGGTCTACTCCTTTTCAGCTATGTAAACTTATACATTTTCTTTTTTTGAATAAAAAAATGTGAGGTGTGTCTTCTATCTTTTCTACCCCTAAGTTATACACTATTCTACTTATTAATAATGTATAGTTCAACATTAGTCCCTGGGTGGTGCAAATGACTAAGTGCTCGGCTGCTAACTGAAAGGTTGGAGGTTCAGGTCCACCCAGAAGTATGTTGGTAGAAAGGCCTGGTGATCTATTTCTGAAAAATCACCCACTGAAAACTCTGTGGAGCACAGTTCTACTCTGACACACATGGGGTCACCATGAATCAGGATTGACTTGATGGCAACTGGTTGGTTGGTTAAGTTCAATGTTGCTGGTAGGATCACAAAATGGCACAACCATTTTGGAAAACAGTTTAGCAGTTCCTCTAAATATTAAACATAGAGTTACCATATGATTCAGCAATTCCACTCCTAGTTATACGTATACCAAAAAAACCTGTTGCCGTCAAGTTGATTCTGACTCATAGCGACCCTATAGGACAGAGCAGAACTGCCCAATAGGGTTTCCAAGGAGCGGCTGTGGACTTGAACTGTCAACTTTTTTGGTTAGCAGCCTGGGCTTATGACCACTGTACCACCAGCACTCATATATATACCCAAAAAAACTGAAAACATATTTTCACATGGATGTTCATAGCAGCATTATGTATAATAGCCAAAAAGTGGAAACAACTCAAATGTGCATCAACTGATGAATGGATAAACAAAATGTGGTATATACATACAATAAATATTACTTAGCAATAAACTGGAATGAAGTGCTGATACATGCTGTAACATGGACGAACCTTGAAAATATTTTAAGTGTAAGAAGCCAGTCAAAAAGACCATTCATTGTATAATTCCATTTATATGAAATTTTCAGTGAGGACAAAGCCATAGAGAAAGAAAGTAGGTTAGGGACTGCAGAAAGAGGGAATTAGGGAATTGACTAGTAATGGGTCCAGGGTTTCTTTTTTGGGGTGATGAAAATGTTCTAAAATTAGATAGCAGTGGTGGTTGCACAACTCTGTGAATATATACTGAAAATCACTGAATTATACATTTTAAATGGGTGAATTGTATAGCATGTGAATTATACTTCAATAAAGCTTTTATATTTATAGTTCAACTTTTTAAAATCTACAGTTACTATATTTATAGTTCAAATACTGCTAAAAATAGAGGGTATGTAAAGGATATCCTCCAATAATATGATTCTAAATTGTCTTGTATAAAACACTTTACAATAACATCCTTTTAATAAAGATAAAAAAAATCATCAAAAAATATTACAAAGGAAACAAAAATAACAAAGACAAAATTACATAGTCTTGATACTTCATAAGACATAATTAGATTTTTATATAAGTTTAGCGCAACAACTATACAGTAGTATTTAAATAAATCCATTTGTTTTATACAAAAGAAACACCCTAACACAGTAGAGTCTCATAATGCCTTAGAGAACACCAATTTGATGCTTTGGGATTTTAATGTGTTGTTAACAAATTTTCAAACTCAGGCAAGTTTAGATATATCTTCATATTGAATTCCTTCAACTCTGCGTCCTTTTAAAGGGCCCTACAAATTAAAATAATTTTTAAAAAAGGTTAAAAACACACATATACTTAAAAGATGAGAACATGACATCATACTTATGGACACAAATGTACCTTTTCCATATCACTAAAGTACTACTAAGGTAGCTAATATTTCTATACTTCTAAAAATTTTAGAAATCATCTACAGCATTCTTATTAGGAACTACTTTCTTCAATGGTATTTGAAAGAATTCTGAGCTGCTCTATTAATAAGTACTATGGCAGAGATTCACTAGCTGTTCAGTATCTCTTCTGCTCCCTAGATAGTTACTGCACTTCCTAGCTCCCCTTGTAGTTAGGTGTGGCCATATGACAGAGCACTAAACCTTGGAAGTGAACAGAAATGATGTGTGCCACTTCCAGACCCAGGCAATATCCTCCCCTACACAATCCGTCATGCTCACTTCCCTTTGCCTGATGCACATAAACATGGCAACCAAAAAAAGGCCCTTGTGGAAGATGGTAAACGTATGAGTTGGAAGGATCCTGGGTCTACAAATCACCACTTAGAAAAGGTTACTCCCTGATCAAGAATACCCATTTGTACTTTTAGAATGAGAAGTTAATTTCTATCACGTTTGTGCCATTATAAACTTGGAGGTTTCTTTTTTACAGCAAATATTTTAAGTAATACAGATACTCATACTCAAATGGTAGTTGGCCTGGTTTAGCTGTGATAGTTAGGCTGGCCTATATTATAGAAAATAAATCCAACTTTAAATACATTCTCTTCTTTCCTCCATACCCAACAAAAAGGGAAAGAAGAAAATCTGACTAATTAAAGACAATACCTGTCATAAAAGCTGATATAACCTAGGAAGACAGCGGTTAAGAATATGGCCTCTGGAGCCAAACTACCCCAGTTCAAATTCCACCTTCAGCGAGTGATTTATCACTTATATATCATTGGGTTGTTGGGAGGAATAAATTAATTAATACAGATAAAGTGCTTAGAACAATACCTGCAAAATAATAGGAGTGTGAGCGTAACAACCATCAACTTTCATTATTATTAAATCTTTTGGTTAAAATTTAAAAGTTAGTCCTCTCTCTTGCAAAATATAAGATGATGAAGATGACATGGTAACTATAGCCCTGGACTAAGATTCTGACTTTTTTTTTTAAACTGAGAATCATACCTTCCTGCAAAGATGCTTTATAAAATATCATTCTTTTTAATATATAATAATGATTTTACTTAAGGGGAAAAGTTCTCAGATAAAGCATGACCCAGGTTGAATTTTTCAATATCACATTTAAAGGTCTATGGTCAATTACACTTATCTGAAAGAACTATAAATCTGGGGAAGAAGAAGGAAGCCAAAGATTTGGGTTATTAGGCAAATAGCTAAAAAGCCGAGGCTGATTTTGAACAATTTATTACCTATTAAAAAATATGCTTAATAAATGGGTAAATTTCAAATATGATAACTGACACTAAAATTTAAGATGTCAGAAATTATTAAAAAAAAAAAAGCAGAAGAAATCAATTAAAACATTCATTTGCTTTGTGGTCATGACTCAGAGAAAACATGGGGACATACGAGACACACACACAACATATTTTATGTGGGCAGGTTACTAAAAAAAAAAAAAGAAAAACTCAACAGGGAGGTTTCCTCTTCCAAAGGTACAGGCTGGTTTGCAATCAACAAAGCTTTTTATGTGGATTTGCATATAAATTCTATGGCAGTGCATGGGGTATTAAGAATTAATAATAAGGAATTTAAGGTCTTATGTAAGCTGTCTTCAGAAGGAAAGATCAGAAACTTGCCTTTCTCCTAATTACCTAATTCTGTTTAGAACTCTGAAGTACTAAACTACATATCTTCATCTCTAAATGACAGAATTTTTCATCTCCAGTACAGTGATTTTTAGTATTTTTTTTTTGGGGGGGGGGGAGGATTAATACATTAGAAAGGAAGATGAAGCTGTGGGTTTACAATGAGGGAGGTAGGAAATTAACTCTTGATGAAAATCTTACAAACTGTGAACCAAAGACTTCTTGATTGAACCTAGAATATCCTCAATAGTAATAGGTTGTTTTGTACATCTCTTAGATGAAAACATGAAGCAGGATCTAAATTTCATAGTATTAACAAATTAAAAAGTGGAAAATAATCAATCTATCAAGGAAATATGGGGTTTTCCATGACCTTATACAGACTGTGTCAAACAGAAAAATCTTCTGAGTATTGTTTTTTTTAATCTGTTGATTAAGTCAGACTGATAAACTTTTCCATGCCAGGTCAGGCTCCCTCCCTCCACTATCCTCTCTGTATTATGTGACAGTTTTTAGGCTACCACTGTCAAAGACAGGGAAAAAAAATGCCTAATTTACTTAAATGTGCATTCTTATCAAATAAGGACCTAAATGGTTTTTCCAGAAAATCTTCCTGACACACATATTCTAAAACATGTCCATGGACGCGTTTAGGGAGCCTGTGAACTCCAAAAGAGTATACAAAATTTGGCAATTATGTGTAAATTTTTGGAGAGTCCAAAACTTTCACCAGACCTTCCAAGGGGACTATTATCCCCCAAAATATAAAGGCCACTGAACTGGAGATAAAAAATTCTGTCATTTAGAGATAAAGACACGTAATGTGGTACGTCAGAGTTCTAAACAGAATTAGGCAATTAGGAGAAAGGCAAGTTTCTGATCTTTCCTTCAGAAGACAGCTCAGACCTCACCTGGCCTCACTCACAAGACCTGTCAGTGAACTACCATCTTTAAACAAACTACTTTACTGATCTCTGCTAAATGCTTTATGAAAGAACATAGGACATAAAAATGTTGATCTCTGTGGCTCTTTCTCCATTAACTATAACTATACTTTGCCCACTATTTTGACTCTGCCAAATAGTTTTATATTAGGTAAGTGAAAAAAAGGTCAGGATACAAAACTGTACATATTGTATACAATTTTATAAAATAAAAGACTGGAAAGAAATAGATCAAAATATTAAGGGGGATTATCACTGAGTTGGAAGATCATGGGTAATTTCTTAAATTATTTATACTAACTTGTATTTTTCAGGTTTTATACAATAATTAGAGATACAATGCTTTATACAATAATTAGAGATAAAATGGCATTCATTGGGGAAAACAAGCTTATAGATTTCCAAACAGGAGAGAAGGCAAACAAGACTTAAACTCTAAAATAAAACCAAGATCAAGTCAATGAAAAAGAACAATGGTATATTTTTAAAGCATTTTAAAATTTCTGTCTTTGTGTAAGCATACGTACAGTTTCAATAACTATAGTAGCTGAAAAACTCTTTTCATTGATGGATTCTAGGGTACCTTCATTTCCTCTGTAGCCTCCATTTAAAACTAGAATTCTTTTTCCTACAATAGAAAATATAAAACTTAATGCAAAGAAAATGTCTACTTCTTTTTTCATTCCATTACAGCAAAATGAAGTTATATCGAATGAATATAACTAAAACAAAACCCTTCTCTTAGAAGTTTTAATCATTTAAGTACTGTGTAACATTCTTAAGTATAGTTTGTGGATACTTTAGTATAACATTATAAGACTCCTCATTTATTTCACTTATTTTTTAAAAGGATATGTTTTAGTTTTAGACTGTAAGGAGTGTAAGGTACTTGGAGGAAATGCTCAGTCCACAAATAACCAGAAAACTTTTAGCTTACTTTGTCTTCTGTTAAAATTCGTAAGATGACTCCGCAATTTTGTAAAAATTTAAACATATCCCTACCATATGACAGAGCCATTCTATTTCTAGGTATTTACCCAAGAGAAATTATAAGTCCATATAAAGACTTCTACATGAATGTTCACAGCAGTTTTTTATTTTTAACAGCCAGAAACTGTAAAACGTCCACTAACAGGTGATTGGATAAACAACCTGTGGGATATTCATATAAAGAAATACTACTACTCAGCATAGAAAGGAATGAACTATGGACATACATGATAACATGGATGAATCTAAAATAATTATGCTGAGTAAAAGAAGCCAAACAAAAAAAAAAGGACATACTGTATGATTTCATGTGCATAAAATTCTAGAAAAAATGCAAACTAATCTATAGTGACAGAAAGCAGATCAGTGGTTACCCAGGAAGAGAGAGGAGGCAGAACAAAAGAGGCGGGAGGGATTATAAAGGGAAATGAGGAAACTTTGGGGGCAATGGATATATTCATTACCTTCATTGTAGTGATAGTTTCACGTGTTATGACTTATCATATCGTATATTTTATATAACTCGTTGCCATCAAGTCAATTCCAACTCAGAGCGGCCCTATAGGACAGAATAGAACTGTCCCATAGGGTTTCCAAGGTGAGCAGCCAAGCTCTTAACCACTACGCCACCATGGCTCCATATTTTATATATGCGGTTTACTATATGTCAATTAAAAAAATTTTTTTAATCCATAGGATTAGTTTTATTTTACAAGGGGGAAAAAGAGTGAGATGGGGGAATAAGAATAAAGAACACGGTAAGAGGACACTTTACAGACTGATATTATCGTTGCACCAAAGTACCCAAATGGAAAGACAATTAAGGGGAAAAAAATGCAAAATAATACACACTTTCACATTATAATCCAGGTAGCTAACATAAACATAACCCTAATATGAGTGATTTTAACCATATATGTCTATGTTTTGCTTCAGAAAAAAAAAAGTATTCTGAAAAATGAAGAATTCATTCATGTCACACAACAGCTTTATGAGAGGATTGATAAACTACCAAGTAATCTGAAGTCAAATAAGGATCAGTTATACTGGCAGTGATATATTCCTAAAAAAGGAAACTTCTCTCCAGAACCATCAAGTAATGTCAAAAAACTATGGTTTTAAGAATGGAATCACTCATTTTGATGGCATACATATTAGATGGTCTACAAAAAGATTTACCTGGTGCTGGTATTACTGTTTCTAAATGAGTTTGGTCAAGTTTCAGCTTGTCTCCAGAATCAATCATCTTTACAACAGCTGTATATTTGTCAATTACTTCCTGTCATGTAAAATTAACACTTTTACAGGATGAACACAAATTTAAAAGGAGAAAAATAAACAGAACGAAAACAAATGAAACTCCAGTCAAAAGATAAGTTGATTCCTTCTGTAAATGACACTATTTTATAGATTCCATATACAGTTTCTCAGCATATAGTTCTCAATCAAGAACTCAATTCAAACCTTAGTTAAGGTTTTCAACTGGAAAGAATAAGAGACTAGTGATCTTAGAATAAGACCTTAAGATACACAGAGCAAGAGGGGTTATTTTGCCTAGCTTAAATTATAGTAGAAGGGCAATTCATGCATGCACAAGGCTAGGTGCTAGGATGAAACTGTATTTAGGAAAAACAAAAGGGAGAAAACAACTAGAGTGTTCATATAAACTTTAAAATCCTAGAGCAGTCAAAAAAGAGATGCCTGAGAGATCAGGCAAAAACACAAGAAGCACATCTTTGGAACTCTGGGGGCATAATTATACTGCCCATCATTAACGAAGAGAATATATCTTACTCACTATATCAAGGCATGCATACTGAGTTGTTTCTTTTAAGAGGCATCGATGGGATATCATATGTACATATACAATTTGCCCAAGTAAGAAAACAGACCAAGGTTAAGTATATACTATGGTTGCATATGAAATATTTTTCCCACAATTATGAATTTAACTTTCTTTTTATGGAGCCATCAAGAACCTCAATGCCTCTGCTACTAGGTGTTGGTTTCAAGGAATACCAAACAGCTTCACTAGTCACCCACCAGCTTTTTTCACAAATTCCATTCACAGCTTCATGTCCTTACCTTAACAATACCCTTCTTCTTATGATATTTCTCGCCAAGTTTTTTGGTTATAATTTTCACAATGATTTCCTAGAAAATAACAACAAAGTATAAAGATGAAAAGAAAGACATAAATTATCTTTTCTATTTTACTCCTTTATTTTAAATCATGTGCTCTGGTAAATAATAAATTGTGGTGTTCTCGAAAGATTAGATAGGAAACTTGGGGGGCTGTGAGTTTATGTTAATGGGTAAGAACAACTCAGAAAAGGAGGGTGAGAATGGGTGCATAACTTGAAGAATGTAATCAATTGTACATGTAGAAACTTGAATTGGTGTTATGTTCTGCTGGGTATATTCTCAACAACAATAAAAAGAAAGAAAAAAATTATGGTGTTCTAAGCCTTCCTAACAAGGCAAAACATTTCCTTGGTCATCTTTCATTCCTTCTTTCTCTTCTTTTACTCAACATAATTACCAAGAAGGAAAAAATATACATATATAATGGCTGCTTTCCACAGTAAAGGTTTCTTGAAATCTAGGACTTTTATCTGTAAAATCTAGACTCATCATATCTTTCATAGATGGCATCTTTCTTTCTCTGCATTCAAGGAAATGAAAAGTGTCAAGTATATTGTACTGTTGGTGTTCACTGCTGATAAAACCTTACATTGCAAAGGTCTCATTAGGAAACTGCAAGGAACTGAGCCTTTGATTTTATGCAGGGCATTTTTCATAATGTTATTTTCTTGTTATGTTGAATTTTTAATACAGACAGGATTCCTCCAGATTAGCTCTAGCTAAAAGTATCTCTTTTCTGGGCATCTAATTCTCAAACGGGCAAGAAATCTGGGCTTGTTTCATATTAATCAATTCTGAGTTTACTGCTTTATCATTGTTTTCCTGATTAGCTTTCTAAAGTCTGATAATGAAAATTAAATAGGCTGACTTATTGCTATATTCACGGCAGTGACTCTATATTTGCTGCTTCAAGTAAGTATAACAAAGAGGTACTAGATGGTCACAAGTACTTCATCAAGCCATGCTAAAAACTCAGTAAGGACTTTGTGGAGAGAGTATTTAATAGTAGAAAGACATCTTTAAGAGATGACTTCAGTTGTTATATTGTGAAGCCTCTACTCTACTTGTTGTCAACTGCTGTCAAGTTAATCCCGACTCATCGTGACCCCACGTGTGCAGAGGAGAACTGCTCCATAGGGTTTTTAAGGCTGTGATTTTCAAGAAGCAGATTGCCATGCCTGTCTTCGGAGTTGTCTCTGGGTGGGCTCAATTTATCAATCTTCCAGTTAGCAGTTGAGAGTGTAACAATTTGCACCACCCAGGGACTACTCTACTAAGACTTTCTCTAAATGAAGCCAATTAATGCCAAAGCAGCTTTTCTGATTTAGCCAGAGAAAATTCTGGGCTAAATTTCTCAAAGGCACTTATGGATTCACACTATAGTAATTTGAAGACAACTTATTATATCACTGTACTTATTGACCCTTGCCCACAATAGATCTGTTCAAAATATTTCTTTTGTAAGTTTAAAAAATAAAGCCCTACAAGTCTATCTCTGTGAACTGCTGGTTATTTTAACAAACATACTGCCCATTTCAAGCTAAGAGACAGGTTGAGTCATTACAGCACTATCTGCAGGATCCTCACTTTCAACGTAACATCCAGTAAAAGCTATGAAAAAAACATCAGAATTATGAGAAAATTATCAAATAGAAAATAAAATTTAATTGTAAGTATTATCAGTGGGAAGAGATTTTTCTGGACTAATTAAAACTCAGAATGTTTCGCTTTTATTTTTTGATTTTTGTTTTCTTTTTCCTTTAGACCAACGGTTTTTAACCAGGGGCACACATCAGAATCACTTGGGAGGTTAGTGAAAATATGCACTTCACCTCAAAAGACTGGATTGGGGTAGTATAAAGCATATGTATTCTGAAAAGACTTCTCTAAGAAATTCTGAAGTACACTCTGGTTAAGAATACTGCTTTAAACAGAACTGTTCATTATATTTTCATAAATAATATATGCAACTATTAATATTCCAATGCCAGCTAGTTCAACAGGGAAAAACAAAGCATAAACCACACAATAATTAATAGGCAGTTTCTTCCCTATAGGTCCTTCCTTTAATCATTTTATAAGAAAGAAAAGTAGATTTTTCCATCCCATGAAATAACCCTCGAATTTACAATGACCAAAACTTCTACTAACAGATCAGTGAATCAGGGTGACTAACAGAGGCAGTACTGTTTGGTAGTTGAAAATACAACCTATAGAAAGAGATTGCAGGGGAAATCCTGGCTCACCACTCGCTAAATGACCTTGAGAAAATTACTCAATTTTTACATCAACGGGAATAATAACAGTAACTACCTTATAGTTGTTATGAGAATTAACTGAAATAATTTATACATAGTACTTATTTTCCTTCTAACACAGCAAGTATTTCCATATTAGATAAGTTATTTCATGATCCTTCACATTATCATCAGCTAGGAATGCTTCCCATTGTATAAGACATGGAAGCTAAATTATTTTCAAGCTAGTAGAAAAATGGCTACAAATACCTGAATTAGAACTTAGGACTTTTTTTTTTTTTTTTAATAAATAATATACAATTGAGTTTTTGGTGAAAGTTTACACAGGAAGTTAGGTTCCCTTTTGACAATTTCCCTACAAATTATTCAGGGACATTAGTTACATTTATCACAATGTGGCAACATTCTCTTTAATTAAATTCAGTTTTTTCCTTTTCCAGTACTCTAGTTTTCCTGTCCCCTTATCTTCTCATCTCTGCTTTTGGGTAATTGTTGACCTTATGGTCTCATACTAATGGTTTTTAAGCAGGGCACCGATCTTACGGGTAATAGCCTTTATTTTGTGTGCTACTCTGCTATTTCACTAAAAGGTGATCTCAGGGGATAGGTTCAGTTCTAGGTTTAAAGAGTGTCTCAGGGTGATAGTTTCAGGGGGTCCTCTGTTCCCTACTGTTTCAGGTTGTCTGACTTTTGTAAATTTTTGAGTTCTCCTTTATATTTCTCTCCCGTTCTATCCAGGACCAACTATCGTGACAATGGTCAGAACGGTCAGTGGTGGTAGCTGGGCACCATTTACTTCTTCTGGTCTCAGAGTTGATGAGGCTGTGGCTTGTGTAGACCTGTTTGTCTCTGCGCTTTGGGTTACCATCTTACTGTTTTTCTTCTGGCAAGTAGAGACCCCGTAGTTGTGTGCTGGATGGCCGCATGCAAGCTTCTAAGACCCCTGACGCTACTCAATTCACTAGGATGCAGATGATGATTTTTGTGAACTATGTTAGGCCAACTGACTGAGTTGTCCCATGAGATCATGGTCCTGTCTTCAAACCCAGAAAACCAATGGTGGAAGGTGTTTGGTTATGTCTGAGGAGTTTCCATATTTGTGTCTTCAATGAATATATGTGCCTGCATCCACATATGTGTATTTGCACATACCTATAGATACTTCTATCTATCCTCACCTATGTACACACCTGTACAATTTGCTATACTCATCCATATGTGCTGAAACACTCGTTTTTCTTTGATTGTGCTGTGCCGACATCTACATTTGGTGCCACTTTCCTAGTCTCTACAGTACAAAACATACTTTCCCCACTCCCCTCCTTTCCCTGTTAACCACCAATGAGGATTGGTCCCTATATATTTACCTATTTCTGTCTGCTTATAAAAGAGGAATCATATAAAATCTGTCCTTATATGTTTGACTTAGTTCACTTAGCATTATGCCCACCAGGTCCATTCATGTTATGTTTTCCCATTCTTTATGGTTGCTTAGTATTCTATTGTACGTACTACAATTTACTTATGCATTCATGCATTGATGGGCACTTCACTTGTTTCTATTTATTTATTATTGTGAATAAAGCAGCAATGAACACAGGTGTGCAGATATCTATTCATGTCATTATTTTTAGGTCTCTAGGGTATACACCTAGTAGTGGGATTGCTGGATCATAGGGTAGTTTTATTTCCAGTTTTTTGAGAAAGCGCCCTACCATTTTCCATAGCAGCTGTACCATTTTACAGTACCACCAGCAATGGATAAGGGTTCCAATCTCCGCACATCCTTGCCAACATTTGTTTTTATCTGTTTTTTTAATCAGTACCATTCTAGCCAGGGTAAGATGGTATCTCATTGTAGTTTTGATTTGCATCTCTGTAACAGCTAATGACTGTGGACATCTTTTCATATGCTTACTGCCTGCTTGGATATTGTCTTTGGTGAAGGTTCTGTTCATGTCCTTTGCCCATTTTGTGGTTGGGTTGTTTGTCTTTTTGTTGTTGAGTTGTTGCAGTATTTTATAAATTTTAGAGATTAGAGCCTTATTGGATATAGAACCTTGGACTTCTTGACCTTCAGGGCTATTATTGAACTTATTTCTCAAGTCAGAAAATATCTAAATGAAATATTACTTTTTATCCTCCTGTTATTGATTAAACCAGACTCTTTAAGAACAATTAAGGCACTTCGAGAGTTTTATGAAAACTTCACATCTCAGTAAATTCCAGAGTATCAATAAATAATAATTTTAAAAATAATAAACAATAATAAATAAGCAATAAAATGCAAAGCTTCCCTGGGTTTGTAAAACTAAAACCTGCTTTTTTTCTAAAAAGTACCTAAACAGGTATTCTAAGTTCAGTAAGTCATAAGTTGAAGACAAATATTTCTGCATTTACAATTCTACCTTTTAATCTCATTCCTGAAAACACAACCTTTTGTCTTATAGGAAAAAACTGAAAATAACTCCAGCCTTCAATTTAAGGTGTCCATTAACAAATTTTGCATTAAACTCATGGAGCATTACTGGTCTACAATCAGGAAGTAATACTCTAACACAGGTGCAACCAACAATTAAAAATGAAATAGAAAATTCATTAAAGCTATAAGTCTAGCTATATAATTTACATATATTTGAAATATTTCTTTATTTATACTAAATGCTATTTAGAACGTTCACTTAAAAGTAGATATGAAGCTTAAGAAGCTCCCATTGAACACTTACAGGCTGTAGCCAGTAGTCTGTTCGGGCAGTTCTTTTCTTTTCCTCTTCAATCTATAGAACACATAAAACATTCATAAAATTATCTTTCTAAAATCTTCAGTTTACTTCAAGTACCACTCTATTTAGCAAAAGAACATCATAAAACACATACTTCTCAGAAGATAAATAACATAATTCAAAAGTTCCAGTACATACAAGTAAACATTATGTGAAACTAGTGTTTAATCAAAATAAACCTTAGGGGGGAAAAAAAATTAATAAACCAAGTCACTGACCAAGAAAACAAAAAATCTTTATTTAGTCAACACTGTAAGGCTATCTGCCAGTACAATACTAACCTCTCCCAGCTTCCTCCTCTGTGACTGTCATTAAGCTAGAAATCACGTGATGTTTTCATGTGTTAAAATACACCCACTCCTCACTTATATCTTTAGGTTCCAAAGACCAGGTTGTTATGCAAAAACTAGCATTATGGAGGATGACTACATCATTAAATAACTGTCAAATCACATCATTATATACCTGCCAAATTACATCATATACCTGCCAAATCACTAAGGATCAAAGCCCAGCCAAGTTGACACATAACCTTAACAGCCTCGCACCTCGGCATTCGTTACTGCCAGACATACGTTGTTAATTCGCAAAATAGTCGGATAGTAGATTTTTTACTATTGTTGTAAATGAGAAATGTCAGATACTGAGACAGTTGATAAGCAAGGAGTAGATGTGCTTACGTAAATGCTACTTTAGCACAGCATGGAAAGGTATACAGTCTGACGGTAATTTGAAACTATTTGATAATGTTGATAAAGTTTGTGAAGAAAGGAAAGAAAAATAACTAAGAGATGTCAATAAAAGGGTGATCAAAGGAAAAAAGTGCTGTCTGGCCATTATAGCTCCGTATCATGCCTTTTCCTTCTCAACTACTTAAAGTTAACCCTAAGTACCAACTTTCAGTGCAACTGAACAACATAATTTGTTGGTTAATTCTAAACCTCAACCTAAATCCTCCAAATTTCCAATATGAACAAAGAACAGTTCAAATTTAGCATATATTATATTCAAAAGTAGGTGGATCTGGCTTTCCATTTTACCTGGAATTAAATTAAAAAGATCCCTGCCATGGTATACAATACCTCCATGATGTTGACCTCACTTCTCTAACTTCAAATGATACCACTCTTCCCTCTGTGCTCACTATGCTCCAGTCACACTGGCCTTTCCTGCAGGCCCATGGAGGATCCCAATAACACAAAGCTACCGAAGATGAAAACAGACTTCATTTCTAACTTCAATCGCCACTAAAGCCCTTGTAACTAAACCCTACTGACCATAATTGCGCAGAGAGTTTCAACGACAGCACTTCTGGCAAGAAAAGTAAGCCTATTTTGAGGGCGGCTCCAACGCCATTCAGATTGAACTGCAGCTAAGTTCCTTTGCTGAAACTAGCATATGTAAATTTTTCTAATTTTATACTTATCTAATAATTGGAAAAATGATTTAACTTTTCTTAGGTTTGAATTACATCACTCCTCTGCTGAATCAATTAGCAGTTCAAAAACTGTACCTCCATGATTTCATCAAGTGCAGATTTCTTTTTCTTCTTTTCTTTCGATTGGGCTGAGCTATGAGAAGATTCTTTTCGTTTCACTGATCCTGCGGGCCCTATCGTCTTCAACGCACTTGGCCCCAGAGAACTGATGAAAAGAAGAATCATACTTTTTATAAACTACACACAGATAAATTCTTTATAATCATTTGTATATATGACTCCTCTCTCACAGTAGTGGAGGGACCATACATTTTTTTCCAGTGCTGTAGCAGTAACTATCTCATGACTCACATAAAACAGACGCTCAATTAATATTTGTTGACAAAATGAATCTTACCAGTCTAATCATCTGTCATATTTACAAAAAAATGAAACAAAGATAAATATTTGCACAAAGCTAACATGAAGATGAAAAGAAAAACAAAGTCTGATTAGTAGAAAATACAGTTGTTATTAGGTGCCATCGAGTCAGTTCTGATTCATAGCGATCCTATGTACAACAGACCGAAATACCGCCTGGTCCTGCGCCTTTCTCACAATCGTTACTATGTTTGAGCCCATTGTAGCAGTCAGAAAAAGTGACAGGAAAATAAATCCCAACTGCTATAAAAATACACCATAATCTCAGAGAAAAAAAAATTAGATGTGTCTTTCAATTGTATTATCTGGACACTACTTACATTTTGTTTTAGATACTGAGAACTGACAGAACTTGGCAGACTAGAACTAATATTTTTACTAATGGTATCAAGCCTTGGCATACGGATGCAGTAGGCTGAATAATGGCCCCCCAAAAATATCAGGTTCTAATCTCTGGAACCTGCAAATGTTATCTTATTTGGGAAAAAGGTCTTTGAAATGCGATTAAGAGAAGGATCTTGAGATGAGGAGATTGTCCTGGATTATCTGAGTGAGTCCTAATGCAATCGTATGTGTCCTTATAAGAGGGAGGGAGAGAAGATTTGACACACTCAAAAGAGAAAACGATGTATAGATTAGACAGCGATTTGAAGATGCTGGACTTGAAGACTGGAGTGATGTGGCCACAAGCCAAGGAATGCAGGCAACCAAAAGAAGCTGGAAGACACAAACGATTCTCCCCTGGGGCCTGTTGAGGGAGCTCAGCCCTGTAGGCACCTTGACTTCAGGCCAGTGATACTGACTTCAAAATTCTGGTATTCAGAATTATGACAGAATTGTTGTTGTAAACAATCTAATGTGTGGTAATTTATTATAGCAGCCAAAGGAAACTAATACAAGGGGTGATAATCTGAGGGCCACTGAAACCAATATTAACATTCACCTATACCCAGGAGTAACGAATAATAAAGGAAAACAGAAATAAACAAGGGTCTAAAACTATAATGTATATATGTATTATAATATAAGCCAGCCCATCTTCTAGATCATTACATTCCAATAGTAGGAAATTCTTTCCAAATGCACCACATGCAGAACTCAACTAATTTCTTGATGATATCTAACGCAGGTGCTAATTTTGAAATATTCTTTTGATCAATATTATGACATTTGTCAAGTCATTCTGAAGCAGCTACATATTGTTGTCTCAGACTCTCTTATTTTCTTCAACTCTCCTAGCCATTTATTTAGTCATGCAAATAGGCACTAGCCTATACCCTAACCGAAAAAGCTGGGTTAGGTCATAAACAATATGTAAAATACTAAGTAAAACAGGAAAGATCACTCAGCCTTAAACTAAATTCCAGTAGATAATGGCAGCTTCTTGAGGTACAAGTATTTTGTCTTATTTATTGTTGTCATGGTTTGAATTATGTCCCCCCAAAGATGTGTGTATCAATTTGGCTGGGCCATGATTCCCAGAATTGTGTGGTTGGCCTCCATTTTGTGATTGTAATTTTATGTTAAAGAGGATTAGGGTGGGACTGTAACACCACCCTTACCCAGGTCACAACCCTGATCCAATGTAAAAGGAGTTTCCCTAGGGTGTGGCCTGCACCACGTTTTACCTTACAAGAGATAAAAGGGAAGCAAGCAGAGTTGGGGACCTCACACCACCAAGAAAGAAACAACAGGAGCACAGCACGTCCTCTGGACCTGAGGTTCCTGCGCAGAGAAGCTCCTAGTCCAGGGGAAGACTGATGACAACTAGGACCTTCCTCCAGAGCCAACAGAGACAGGAGGGCCTTCCCTTGGAGCTGACACCCTGAATTTGGACTTATATAGCCTACTAGACAGTGAGAAAATAAATTTCTCTTTGTTAAGGCCATCCACTCATGGTATTTCTCTTACAGCAGCACTAGATGACCAAGACAATTGATTAACCTCCATACATAACTGAATGCATTACACATCACAAACGGTCAATAAATATTTGGTGAAAGAATACAGAAGAATAGCAAGAAAAAAGAACATGAAAAATGGATAGAATTATTTGACTACACGCTATACTAGGGTTGGCACACTATAGTCTGTGGACCAAATTGAGCCTGCTGCCTGTTTTTGTAAATAAGGTTTTATTGGAACACAGCCATGCTCATTCGTTTACATACTGTCTACAGCTGCTTTCTCACTACAACAGCAGAGTTAAGTGGCTGCAATAAAGACATATGGCCAACCAAGCTTAAAATATTTACCATCTGGCCCTTTATAGAAAAAGTTTGCCAACCCCTGCTCTGTACTATACCACCTAGAAGGGAAGACAGTTTTTAATGAGCGCCTCAGAAAATCACAATACAGCAAGTAAAACAAAAAATGTACCTCTCAGCTAACATGTAGACTGATAAGTGGACTCTGACAAAATAATACACAATATTATAGTGACACAAAAGCAACCATTAAATGGAGAAGGATTCACAGAGAACCAACATTTTATTCATGTGAAGCATTTAATCAAAATGAGCCTTTCCTCAAAAGACAGAATTATCTCATCACAGACAAATAAGAACAGTTGCTAACAAAAACTGCAACAAACAAAAGCCAAAAATAAAGAAAACTGCAGCCAGAAAATACTGATTCAAAATATCGCTGCTTTTAAAATGCAGCAACCAACACTTCAGAAAAATTCTAAAGTTTTAAGATAACTATTAATGTAGCTCACCTTGATTTGGAGGATGTTGCTCCTCCTGAACTACATGCTCCTTTATTCAAATTAAATGTAACTGAAAGAAAACAAAATTGTTATTCCATACATATTTCAGGAAAATTATAATAAAACTTATCAGACAAGCTACCCCAGTGTACTCACATAGACATTTATGGACACTTTGAATAAATGAGTCAAAATACTCCCATTCAGAGATTACAAATTCCTGTGAAACATACTAGACTGATGCTACAGCAGAAAGTGCTGGTTGCTTCCTGTCTTCTCCCTTGTTAGCAGTACTCTATTTTTTTTTCTTTTAGGTGTCTACACCTCTCACATGTGGCTCAGGGAAGATCACACCATCTTCAGCTCTGGGGTAAATTCTGATTATGTAAATCAATCAAAATGATTCCATTCCCCTTTCCAGTGACTGTTTGTAGGGAGACATGTGGCACAGTTCTGACCAATGTCATTCAAAATGAAGTTTGCTGGCGAGGGGGAGGGAAGTGCCTTCTAAGAAAAGTTTCCTTGCTCATTGGGAGACTCCAGAAAAGATGCTCTCCTGCATCCTCTGGATAATGCGGTGCCTGGACACTGATGGCTGGATGTGCTGGAAGCCATCTTATGTCCAGCTGCTGACAGTATGGTGTTCAGAACCACCCACCTCTAGGATTCTTGTTATGGCAAGATAATACATTTCCTTATTGCTTAGGCTAATTTTAGCCAGTTTTGTTACTTGTAGCTGAAGGCGTCTCATTCAATTCATTAATATTACCTGTTTATATTACAGATGAGAAAAATGAGACCCAAACAGATTAAATGTCTTCCTCTTAAACATGCTGCTAGTTTTTGGCAGAGCCAATACAAAAGCATATACGTTAAAAAAAAAAAAAAAAAGAAGGAAAAAACAGTACAACTACCTTTCTCTTCATCATTTTCTCTGCTTAATTCCGTAAAAACGGGGGCCTCCTACATAAATAAATAAATAGGTTTGAAGGTTTTGGTTCACAGTGCATTTACTATCAATATTCAACAGTCCTAAATTATGACTTGCTACCTATGTTGCAAGACAGTTCTAAGAGACAACTCTAAAATTATTAAGACACTAAATAAGAAATCATATGTATTGCAAATATGCACCCAATAAAAATTAGTCTAAAGGAGAGAAAAGTAGTCTTTCTGTACCAAACACAGAAGTTTAGCTACATTTTCACTACTATTACAATTTAAACAGGAAACAAAAACAAAAAAGTAAAGTAATGAACTTTAGGAATATTAGATTGGGGCTTACTTTAATAAGCAAAACCTTTCTACATCATGGGATAATACAGTGTAATGATTAAGAGCCTAAGACTGGGGGAAAAAAAAAAAAACTCAAAAAGCTGCATATAAATTCCACCTCTGCAACCTATTTGTGATTTTTGTCAGTCTTATCACTTTCCTTAAGCCTCAGTTACTCCACCTTTAAAACAGGTATAATATATATACTTAGAATTGTTATAAGGGTTAAATAACAAATAGGAAACACTTAGCATAGATCCTGTCATAGTAAGTGTTCAATAAATGGTAATAGTTGTTTGTATTAGTAATAAAAGCTGTTCTTGAAAGCTAGCTAAAATATTCTTTTCCTAGGTAATGTCCCATATTAAGATTTCACAAAGGAAGGCAAAAGAACATCTTACTTTTAAAATAATTGATACATTTAAACACAGAATGATCAGTAGGCTCTCACCTGCCTTTTAGGGTGAAGATACTATTTCTATCTGAAAAGTACAAAATAACTTGAAGGTTTTAACTGTATTAAGCTAAAACGTTTCAAAACAATAATGTTATTCCAAAGAGTAAGCTACTTTATACAAGATGTGATTCTTCTTAATTTCCACAATAGGAAATTAAAACGTTTCCTCTATTGAAAACACAGATTTAAATTTTAAAAAGGTTAGAGAATTTCAAGAATAAAAAGCTTTCAATCTTAAGCAGGAATTTAAACAATTTTATTATTACAGGACTTTAATCATTGTTCTTGTTTTAATTTAATCTAGAAAATTCTTAAAAGATTATGTGACTATATGTGTATTAATATAATAATACATTTACATACAAACTCACTTGGTCACCAAGACGTTCAATTAACACAGTACAAAAGCTGATTCATAAACTCGTCCTTAAGTCTTATCACCTGTTACTTCCTGCATCACTCCTTATAATAAATGGCTTATATAAGACATGTACGATAATGATCAGAGCAGTTGTACTCATAATAGCCAAAAACTGAAGACAAGCGAAATGTTTTTCAACAGAATAAACTGTAATACATTCATAAAATGGAATTTTACACAATGAAAAGATAGTGAAATACTGCTAAAGAACATGGATGAACTGCACAAACATTATGTTTGAGTTAAAGAAGCCAGACATGAAAGAGGCATACTGTATGATTCCATTTATATGAAGTTCAAGAATATACTCAAATAATAAATAATGGTATGTCAGAACAGTGGTTACCTCTTGGGGACAGAAGTTAACTGGGAACAGGCAAGAAAAGAATCTTCCAGGATACTAGAAATGCTCTCTTGATCTGGGTGGTAGTTATACAGGCATATGTTTGTATGTGTGTGTAAAAATAAATTGAGCTGTATACTTAACATTAACATGCATCATACACTTTTTTACGTTAAAAAAAAAAAACCAAACCCACTGCCATTAAGTCAATTCTGACTCATAGCGACCTGAGAGGATAGAGAACTGCCCCATAGGGTTTCCAAGGCTGTAAATCTTTACAGAAGCATACTGCCACATCTTGCTCCCAGGGAGTGGCTGGTGGGCTCAAACCATCAACCTCTCGGTTATCAGCTGGGCACTTAACCACTGCGTCACCAGGGCTCCTTACCTCAATAAAGGAGTCCTGGTGGTGAAATGGTTAAACGCTCAGCTGCTAACTGAAAGGTAGGCGGTTCAAACCCACCAGTGGCTCCATGGAAGAAAAGACCTGGCGATCTGCTCGCCGTTCAGTTGATCCCAACTCATAGCAACCTTAGAACACAGAAGAACTGCCCACAGGGTTTCCAAGGCTGTAATCTTTATGGAAGCAGACTGCCACATCTTCCTCCTGCAGAGCAGCTGGTGGGTTCAAACTGCCAATCTTTCAGTTAGCAGCAGAGTGCTTTAACCACTGTGCCACCAGGACTCCTTTCATAAAGATTACAGCCTAGGAAACCCTATGAAGCAGTTCTACTCTGTTATAGAGGGTCGCTATAAATCGGAATTGATTTGACGGCACACAACATCAACAACATCTCAATAAAAAAATTTTTTAAACACTAAATGGCTCATGTACACACCAGGCTGTATTTTCCTTCTCACACGCAACTTTTAGTATGAAAGCTCCACAAGGGCAGGGATGTTTACATCTTTTGTTCACTGCTGTATTCCCAGAGCCCAGAGGAGTGCATGGCAAACAGGAGGCACCTGATACACATTTGTTGAAATAAATGCCTTGATCTAGTAATCCTAACACTGGAACCACCTTTACTATGCCCTCTCTTCCCCATTTACCTGAGTTTCACCCATTAATTCTTTAAGACTCTTCAGCTCTAAGGTTGATCTACCTTCACATATTCCTTCTCCTCCCCAGGGTGAAGTAAGTTTTGGCCCTCTACATTCCCACACACTTTATCTCCAGCACTGCATTAATTACTCTACTCACATATCTGTTTATACGTCTTCTTCTACATTATATGTTACCTCTATTTTAGATATAAGGAAACTGAGATTTAGAAAGATTATATAATTATACAGGATCATGAAATTAGTAAGTCAGGAATTGATCCCAGGTTTGTCAACCCCAAAACTTGTGCTTTTATGGTATGCCATGTTCTTTCTCCTCTTAATTAAGGAACAATATCTAAAAAAAAATCTGCTTCTTAAGATTTTTTATGTTGCCTTTATAGATGATGATATTTCCCACCTGTTCTTTCCCTTCCAGACCTCTTCTCACTTGTTCTTCAATAAATTTGGCAGTTTTTTCTTCATCATCAAGGTCCTGCTTCTTCTTTTTCTCTAGTTCCAGTTGCCGGCGGATAGTTTCTGGGTCCCTATCTATGTACTGAATATACCAACCTTTTGGTGTCTCATCTACTTTGCACAAGCCTTAAAAAAATAACAAATACCATACATTTTTAGACAATCAAAGTTAAACCTAAGCATAAATAAAATACTCTACCTCTGCATTATTTACTCACTTTCATTTAAATGTACTTATTCAAACATATTCAAATATACAAATTGATGTGCACATGAATTTTTCATATTTAAAGTTGATGAGATTTAGATACTTTAAATGGAATTTTTTTTAATCTTTTTAAACAGAAAAAGAATGCTATTTTGATTTTTCTACTAAGCTAAGGCAACATATTTAAACAAGGCAAACACATGAAACAAGCGTTATTTCACATAGTTATTTCTTAACTGTGTCTCAATATTAAACATCCAATAAGTTCATGATACTCTATTAACTTAAATTATTCCCCTAAAATGGAATAAAATAACACAGTGAATAAAGTAATACACTGACACAAAATTTCTCCTTTCTTTTCCCAAATTCTTCATTCTACGAAGACTAGGAAAAGCAAATTAAAAACCACCTTAAGAGGGAATAAGAAAAGTCTCGTAAAGTAAGATGAATATGAGGGAAAACAACTGAAGAGATTGTTAATAACTCTTAATCTAAATGAGAGGATGCTTCAGTGTTAAATCCTCACATTGTCTAAAGAACTACTGACATTTGTATTCAACTGTAATAAACAAAATCAATCCTCTCCCCCAGTTTTTTAATTGCCCTACTCATCCTCATTTCCATAAATTTACATAGCAATTATGACAGTTCTTTCTCTGCAATGGAGCCATATAACAACTATTATGCTTACCTTCTCTGCCCAACCACTTAGTAAAATCAGTCAGAGTTTCCCACTGAGTAGCATTCATATGGATGTGCTCTCGATGGCTGATATATTCATTATATACAATGTTGTTGTGAACTCTCTTAGTTCCTATGATCAAAATATGACATTGTTGATTCTGAGAATACTATAAAATTAGAAAATTACTATTTACACAATACTTAAGAGGCTTACCAAAGCGTCTCCTGAGAAGTTCTAGAAAGTCATTTCGAAATTCCCTGATAAGGAAAGAAAGAAAAACATTAAGGTAATTTCTACAAATATATTCCTGAAATTTAAACAATCATACAGTGTTAATGCTCAAATGATTTATGAAATCTGTATGTTATGAACCTATAAAAACTGACAAGAAAAGAATACCAAAAGATTATAGATTTCAAGAAGAATTAAAGTTAAAAGTCAGTTTGGAATTGAAATGTTTTGTCTTGGCAAACCAGTTAGCAAAAGTTACTACACATGTTTGCAGATGGTCCTACAAGAAGTCTTTTAGTGCTACTGAATGTGGCATAACCACCTCACTTTATCTATAACAACACTACCCTTATTCCAATGAAACTGGTACTTGATGTGTTCTTCTGAGAGCACACTGTGTTAAATGGTAGATAAACATAGGTGAATAAAGTATAAATCTTGACTTTTAAGAAGTTTACGATCTAATGAAACCAATAATGGTGAAGTGAAACTGAAAAACAGATGTAACAAAACATAAGAGTTGAGAGAGATTCCTCAACTCATAATACGGACACTATAAAGTGTAAACAGGACTTTCCCAAGTGAAGAAGGAAGAGAAGGTCATTCTCAGCTAGCACAGAGACATGAAAGCATGGCACATTTGAGAAATCACAATAAATCTAAATGGGCTGAAGTTTAGGACAGATAAAAATGAAGATGAGAGTGGGGGTAGAACAGAATAATGGGAGGACAATGTGGCTAAAACATAAGGTTGGGATGAATTTTTGAAGTGCCTGAAATGTCATCCTAATGAGGTTGGGCTTTATGCAGGCACTAAAGAATTTAAGTTTGGGAATTAATTTGTTAAATCTGTGATTTAGAAAAATAATTCTTGTGGACAATACAGAACAATAATTCTCAAATTACAGTACCCAGCATCAGTATCACCTGAGAACTTAATAGAAACACAAACTCTGAGGTTTATAGCTTAGGAGTCTGAGAAGTTATTAGCCAGCAGAAGATATGAAGCAGGGTTGGAGGAGGGAATACTGAGTTCAACTTTAGAAATGCTGACCTTGAGATACCCTTAAGACACAGAAACTAGAACTGTCCAGGGGAAAAAAAAAATCTGTCACTCAAGACAAATAACAGAAATGAACATCAAAATTTCTGAGTTATCAACAGATAATAAAGGTTACAGTTAAAAGGCTGAGATAACACATGGAGACTGGGTAGAGCGGGGTGAAAAGAAGTCAAGTGGGCATCCAGAAGAACTTTTTGACATCTGAGGAGCCGGAAGAGTAAGAGGAATTAATGAAGAAAGTACGCACAATGGGAGTAGTAGAAGGAAAAGCATGAAAGAACACGAAACAGAGGCGTTTCAGTTAAGAGTTAACAGCATTATCCACTGAATAAAGATCAAGGAAGATGAAGATAGAAAAAGTCATAAGTGACTCTTCAGTAGACTGATAAAGGCAGAAGTCAGGCTGCAGTGGACTGAGGAAAGAACAAGGGGTAGAAAGGAAGGCACTGAATGTGGATGGATGGCTCTTGGCAGAATGGTATTTCCCAAAGTGTGCTGTACGTACCCTGGGGGCATTCAAGATGATTTTAGGTGGTTCACAGACAGTAAATAATTTTTTACTTTTTTTGCTGTGCTATTGGCACTGATGGTGCAAAAGCAATGGCGAGTAAAACTGCTGGTGTCTTAACACAAATCACAGTAGTGGTACCAAACTGTACAGATAGTCAGTGTATTCTTCATTGCCACGTACACGTGGTAAAAAAATCAATGCTAGTTTCATCTAGAATGTTCTTGATGAAGCACTAAAAATCATTAGTTATATTAATACACTTCTTTCCAATATTGTGTCATGAAATAAGAACTACACATAAATTGCTTCTGCTGCTGTATGATGGTGGTCTTGAGGAAAAGCATCTATGTAACTGGTTGAGGTGTGAGCTGAACTACCTTTTTTATGAATCACCATTTTTACTTGAAAGAATGGCTGAAAAATAAACTATGACTATCCCAACTTGGATATTCAGTAGACATTTTCTCACATTTGTCACATCAAGGAAAGAAACTGACAGTATTTGTTGTTAATGATAAAAGTTGAGCTTTCAAGCAAAAATTAGAATTTTGGGGAAACTAGTATCTGCCACTGCAAATTTAAAATACTTCCCAATACTTTAAGATGTTTCTAATCAGTTCAGTGTTATTAATGCATACAGTTTTACGATATTCTACAATAAAATGTGTCACCACTTGGAAGAGTTGCATAAGTCAGTGAACCAAAAATTTCTAAATGGCCGATGCATGATATTACAAAATCACACAGGACTGTAAGATCCATTTAAGGCAAAAGATAGATCAATGGATTTTAATGTAACAATTCAAAAACTTCACTGATACAGTTTCAGATTCTACATTACAACTAACCTTAAGAAACTACCACTGGCTGCGTTTTTGTGTAGTATCAAAGAAGAATATCCAAAATTATCTGAAAAGGCCATTAAGACATCACTACCCCTTCCAACTACATATCTCTATATGCTTCAACCAAATCATTTTACAACAGACTGAATGCAGAAGCAGATGTGAAAATTCAGCTGTCTTCTATTAAGTCAGACACTGAAGAGATTTGCAAAAATGTAAAACACTACTATCCTTATCACAATTTTGTTTTTTTGGTTAGGAAAATACAGTTATTTTTCATTAAAAACGTTATTTAATTTAACATACAATAGGTTTATTATTGCTATTTTTAAATGAATTAGTAACAAAATATTTAAAACTTCTCAGTTTTAATTTCTAAATATCAGTAGATACAGCCCATATAACAAAAACTCGTTGTGGAGGACTCCAATAATTTTTAAGAGGTAAAGGGGTCCTGAGACCAAAACGTTTGAGAACTACTGGTATAGAAGTTTGGAAAGAACAAGATGAACAGAAGCAAGAATAATAAAAATAATGACAGCAGTAATAATTAACAGCTAATGTTAATCGAGTACTGAGCACTGCCCTTAGCACTTCAAAACTATTCATTTAATCTTTACATAAACTCTGTGAAAGAAAAACATTACTAAGAGGAGAGTACTATTTTTATTCCCACTTTCCAGATGAGGAAACTAAAACACAGAAAAATTAAGTAGCCCTCCCATAGTCACACAGCTCAAAAGAAGAGGAGCCCAGATTTGAAGTCAGGTAAAGTAGAGGATCAGCGGAAAACTGGCAGGCCCTCAATGAGATGGAATGACACAGTGGCTGCCAACAATGGGCTCAAAACATAGCAAAGATTGTGAGGATGGCGAAGGATTGGGCAACATTTTGTTTTGTTATACATAAGGTCACTGAGTTGGAGCTGACTCCACAGCACCTAACAACAGTCTGACTCCAGAGACTGCTCTTAGCCACAACTGTTTTTGTTTTAGAATAATAGTTTAGTACATTTGAAGCAGAAGAAAAGACTAAATTGTGAAAAACACTTTTGTAATAATTTCGTACTATGATAAACTGTCAAAAGAAGATAAAAACTGAGCAGAAAGAAAATATAGCTATGTTAATATGCAAGGAATAACACAACATTCAATACATAAACTAACCATGTATTAAATGTTCAACTGAATAAAAGTTATGATATAAGAATGTCTTTGAGTTACTTACTCAGAAAAATAATCCATAAATTGCTGAGGATTTTCTGAAGCCAGCAATAGTTGTCTCTGATGAGATTCGGACATACAATGACACTTAAAGCCATTCTACAAAAATGTAAAGGCTGTAGTTAAATTCTGATTTCATAAGTCATCATAATGGGCTCTAAATAAAGTATTTAATTAAACCCTAAAAGCTGCTGATGATAATTTGTAAAAGAAATAAGCAAATCACTCATGTTCTATAGTTGTAAGTACCTTATCAGTTTTTTTTTTGTTTTATTTTTTTATGGTGTTGAGCCTTGCAACACTGCTAATCAGAAATTAATCCTTGACATTACTAAAGAGACAGAAAAATTCTGCTTTAGAAAACAGACATTATAGGGCACAACAACAGAAGACTGATTTTTTTTTTGACTTAATTTAACAACTTCTTCTTGAGTACCTACTTCATATAGAGTGCAATGCAAGTGCTTAGAGGAACTACAATGAAATAAAATGTGTCATTAATGAATTCCTTTAGGGAAAGGATTTCACTCTTTCTTCTGCTTTAGCTCATTTTTCAAAATACATGGTTGCATATTACATAAACCTTGTATTAAACATATTAAATTTGTACCTTCTTCATATGATTGTAAGAAAAAAAAAATGCAAGCTTTAACTTAGTATCTTCTACTTAATATTTGATCTCATTCTTCACTAGTAAGGATTCTTGGATGGCAAAAGTGGTTTGCGCCCTACTGGTGCAGTGGTAAAGAGCTCGGGTGCTAATCAAAAGACTAACAGTTTGAATTCACCAGTTGCTCCTTGGAAACCCTATGGAAGTGACTCGACAGCAGTGGGTTTGGTTTTTTGGTTTACTAGCCTAAACGCTGGTGGTTTGAACCTACCGAGCAGTGCCACAGAAGAAAGTCCTGGTGATCTGCTTCCATAAAAATTACAGCCAAGAAAACTTTATGGAACAGTTCTACTCTGTAACACCTGGGGTTGCCATGAGTCGGAATCGACTTGATGCAACGGATTTGGTTTCTGGTTTCGTCACTAGTAACATAAATGAAAAATGTGCCTCTCCACCTGTATTCCCTCTCTCAGTTAACAGCACTAACATATCCCCAATCCCTCACCCAAGCCAGAAATCAGTACAGTTAGACTAGATTCCATCTTCTCTACATTAAATTTAGCACTAAATCTCTGCTGCCTTCTTAGTAACTTATCAAGCCCCTCTGCTCAATCCCATTGCCTCTGTCCTAAATTTCAACATCCTATCTTGCTTAGGAAACCCTGGTGGCATAGTGGTTAAGAGCATGGCTGCTAACCAAAAGGCCAGCAGTTCAAACCCACCAGGCTCTCCTTGGAAACCCTAGGGAGCAGTTCTACTCTTCCTATAGGGTCACTATGAGTCGGAATTGACTCGACAGCAATGGGTTTGGTTTTTTTTATCTTGCTTAGAGTGGTTTCCAAATCTTTAGTCATCCAAGAATAATTTACACAATTTGTGCCTCATCTGTGCACTGTGAGAGTCATGCTTATTACTTAAATTTATCTTAAGAGAAAACTTAGTATCAGTCTCATAAATAAAAAACCAGGTTCACACTCTATACATTAAAAAAAAACAACAATAAAATGAAAACAAAATGTCATTAAATTCTAGAATTAATGTTATTGAACTTCAGAAACCCAAAGGAGTTGGGAAGGGAAGGAAGAACATCTTGGGGATGTTCTATGTTCTAACATGCAGAGATAGAAGACACAGAAGGGAGTTTGTAGGGGGCCAACTTCGCCCTCCCCGAGGCCATCATCCCGGGTAGGAAACGTCAGCATAGGCCCAGAACCACCACAAGAGCCTTTCTCTGAAAGTTGGTAACTAAAGGAAAGAATTATGCATCTAGCCTGCCTTTTCCATAGGAACTGCATTTTGGGATAACATTTAAAGATAATCAAATATCACCTAAAGCACAATACAAGTAAATAAGTAAATAAAGATGACCAAATGGCCCTAAAACCAAAACCAAACCAAACCCGTTGCTGTCGAGTCGATTCCCTAGTTGATGAGAAAAAGCCCATTTCTACTAAAGAATATCAGCTAGTAATGAATGTACAAAGAATAATTGAATGAGAAAAATAATCACTCATAATGAAATAAATGATTTAGGCAAGGATGCTAAAAACAAACAAACAAAAATAAACCTACAGCTGTCAAGTCAATTCTGACCCATAGCAACCCTACAGGACACAGAAGTGCCCCACAGGGTTTCCAAGGCTGTAAATCATAACAGAAGGAGAATGCCACAGCACTCTCCTGCAAAGTGGCTGCTGGGTTCCAACCACCCACCTTTTGGCTAGCAGCCGAATGCTTTAACCACTGCACCATCAGGCCTCCTTAAGGATGCTAAAACATATAGGTAAAAAGTTGATGGCAAACTAGATACGCTGGCATGATTTCAAAGTATTACCCTGCTAATATTTGTTCTCACAAGGGGGAAACTATTACTTTATAAAATTACAGGCTGTCATCTTTACTCGATAATTTTAGCACTACGAGACATTATGGAATTCTTCATATGAAGCAATATGAAATGCACAGGTTTCCTCATGAAATATTCTTCCCAAAAACATTTAACCTGAATCTAATCAAGTCTTTAGATCTAAGTTCCAATTTACAGGAACTACAACAACAATAACCAAAATCGATTCATGGCTTTTCACTGGATATTGTTGTTGGCAGGTGCTGTGGAGTCGGTTCCAACTCACAGTGACCCTATGTACAACAGAACAGTCGGATATTTATTAGTATTTTGGGGGGAAAAAAACAGCTTTAAAACACATGTGAAGGACAACTGAGAAAATGTAAATATGGAATGTGTACTAGATTACATAAAGGAATTTTTATTAATTTTGTTACGTATGATGACATACATAACATGCTTATGTATAAAAAATTCTGGTATTTTAGAGATAAATACTTAAGTATTTGGAACCCTGGTGGTGCCCTGGTTAAGAAGTCAGCAGTTCAAATCCACTAGCCACTCCTTGGAAACCCTATGGGGCAATTCTACTCTGTCCTATAGGGTCACTATGAGTCAGAATTGACTCATCGACAAGGGGTCTGGGGTATACTTAAGCATTTAGAGGTGAAATATCCTAATGTTTGTAATTCACATACTTTAAAACATTACAGAAAAAAGGAAATATGGAAAAATATTTAAAATGTTAAATATGGGTAATGGATATATGGATACTCATTATACTAGTTTGTTTTCTGTGAGAATTCTAACTTGATTTAAATAGTTAGAACTAAAGAGAAATGAAAGAGAATAGAATAGATAAACAGGCAAAGAGAATTTAAGTAACTTGGCCAAGATCACACAGCTAGTACGTGGCGCAACTAGGCTTTATAATTCTGACAGTCTGACTCCGTAGTCCATAATCTTAACCACAATATTATTCTGGGCTTGGTACACTGTCGGTGCTCAATAAACGCTTGTTAAATAAGTAGTGTGGAAGAGTTTAGTGTTCCTTTTTCACCTAATCCCGAAAAGAAGTGTGAATCCCAATTATTGTTTCTCTTAGGAGTCATGTCAAGTCAGACAGATTGTTATTGCTAGAGAGCCCGGCACTGCACTATTCACGCTCCGGTTTTAAGATAGCTTGAGTACGAACACTTCCTCGAGAGCTGCAAAACCTCTTCTTATTTCTTTTTGGAGCGGGCTGGGGAGGAACAAGGTGTCAAAGGTCACTGATTTCCAGGTGGGACTGGGGGCTGAAGAAAGGACGGCTCCACTGAGTAGTTGATTCGCCCTATGCAGACCCCAGAAACAGTCTGCCAAAGATGCATGACTAGGTATCTGAAACCCATACCCTTAACCCCCAGCGTCAGGGACTTGAACTCAGATTTACAAAGAGGCCCCTCCTTGTGCGAGGACAGGGCGTGGGCACTGAGGAGACGGAGCCATCCCGGGCCCCCTTACCTCATCCCGGCACTGTTTCTGGCACATCTGGCAATACCAGCGAAGCTTCTGAAGCCCTTTGGATTTGATCCTGTTGGCAATGGCCTTGGGGGTCAGAAAATCTGACTTCCCCATCGCGACGACGCCACCGGTAACTTTTGAAACCCAGGTTCTGGCCAGCCGGAAGCGGAACGGGGTGGCGGAGGGCGGGGCAAACACTGAAGGCTGCTGAGTGACGAAAGGAGGTGGGCACTTAAAAGGCTCGTTCCCAAGGCTCGCGAGTTTTCCCTCCGTCTGGCGGCAGGAAGCGAGACCGAAGAAGACCGTGAGGTGGTAGCGACTAGGGAAGCTTCCGCGCATGCGTGGTGAGGCTCGTCTGACCGACCTTCAGCAAGGCTGATAGCAAACACCATGTTCTCTCGGGCAAGCCTCGCTGGGGTCTCGGCTTGGGCTCTGCAGCCGCAATGGTATGGCAGCTTGCGGTAGGAACCGGAGAATTGGGAGGGATGGAAGAGCTCAGTCAGGTGGGAACGAGAAAGGAATGGAGGCGTGTAGCACGGACCCGGAATCTCAGGGCTGGACTAGGCCTCCTTGTCCCAGCAGAGGCCCGGTGAAGCTGCAGAAGCGCCTTAGAACCCGCAAGGGCGCGCAGAGAGGCTGGAGACGGCAAGTCAGTGCAAGGTCACGCCATGTCTCCTGAGGCTTATTGGGGCGGGGTGAGGGGCAAGAGGAGTGGTAATCTTAGACTTTGGGATTGAGTAATTTCAGCACGTTCTTGAATTCATTCATCTAACAAATGCTTATCGAGTACCTACTACGTGCCAGGCAACTAGTATTGTGGAGTCCTTAGCAGAGCCCCCAAGGTGGGGGTGGGGGGGGTACCTAAGAAAAAGTGTAGAGGAAGGTTGTGCTTTATGTCCTTGACGTCTTTTGAAACCTTCCAGTGGTGGGCAGAGTTTGAAGTGGGCCAGTGCAGAGCACCAAAACAAAACCAAACCTGTTGCCATCGAGTCGATTCCTACTCGTAGCGACCCATAGGTCAGGATAGAACTGTTCCATAGAGTTTCCAAGGAGCGGCTAGTGGGTTCAAACTGCTGACCTTTTGGTTAGCAGCCGAGCTCTTAACCACTGCGCCACCAGGGCTCCAGTGCAGAGCACAATAAACCTATAAGTTCGATTCAGTCAGAATGTTTATTAAGCACCTGCTATTTGTATTTAGCAGGCGCTCTGATAGGCACTGGAAAAAGGAAGATGAAATTAAAAGATGTTCTCATGGGCTGATGGTAGTTTTGATGCAGAAGGGACCGTAAAGATCAGTCGGTTGCAAGGAGAAGGGAAAGACACCTCATACTGTCATGAAACCATTATGCTGAAGTAGTAACCCTGCGAGGTCATGAAATTGTCCCAGAGTCCTGAGGGAGGAGGAGATATGTGCCATCTGTTAACAACCATGCAGGTAAAGGGTGCTGCAAGTTTCAAGGATTTTACAGATTGCTTCCTGAAAAGATTGCATAGCAGAAGGCCTAGGAATAGGCAGATAAAACTTGGTTTGTGGGTGGTACTATGTAATAGGATGAAGTGTTTTTAATCTTACGGTCTAGAGGAATTTTTGACGTAGTACTAAAGGGATTATTGCCTATAGGCTGTGTCATAGCAATTCCTTGGTTTTGTAGTAAGGGAGATTTCTAAGGAACTAAATTAGATTTTAGTATCCTAATTATGTGAAGGGACTATAAAGCATTAATTGAAATAGATACATTTTTCATTAAGCAAAGAATTTATAACAATATATAAGATTTTCAGAGGAATGAGGTAATTAAATCTAAAGTGTAAAAGTACATACAATTTTTGGTGGACTTGCATTGGAAGTCATTTTTTTTTTTTCCTAAAATTGAAACAATTATGGGAATTCAGTCACTGTAGTTGAGTTCTCAGCTTCCAGGTTGTACTATTTGTTAATCATTCAGCAGTTATTTGTTGCGTGCCTACTCTATATCAAGTTGGCACTGTCATTAAGTCCTAAAATGTGATGATGAACAAATAGCCATGGTCTCACTGAGTTTCATGGTACTTGAGAGCACAATTTCTGGCACACAACATAGATCAGCTCTCCTTCCCTCATCTAACTGTGTGCTAATGTTATCTGTCACAGTATTTTTGGAACTTTCAGTAGCACCCAGGTTGATCTTTAAAAAGTAGAAAGAGTTTCTGCAGCTAGGACAAAATGTTTTACATAAAATTTTAGAAATAATGAAAGAAAAAAATAAACACTTGTAAAACAATTTGAAGCTCTTTTAATAAAAATTGTTTTAAACGAGAGTGCTAATCTGAGACAACTACTGCTAGGGCCTAAACTGGAACCTCAATCAGCAAATAAAGGTCATAGTCTTGACCTTAATCCCTTTGGAACATTGGTTTTAAATCAGAACATTGGTGCTCCACTATGTTAAACATAGCCTGTTCTCTTCCTTGTACATCACTTAGGGTGCCTAATGTCTTTCCTGCCTTTTCTGCCCTTTCTCTGCCTGTTAATATTATTGTTTTTTAAATTCAGAAATTAAAACCAACTTAATGTTTCACACTCCACAGAACTGGGGTGGAAAGAGGGATTAAAAACCTTTGCCTTTACAGATCCCTGAGGAGGCAGGGGATTTGATTACTGAACACTTCTAAAAGTACAGTTAATTATTATAGCTATCGACAAGATGCATTAACACAGTGGCTGCAACAATTGGTTCAAACAGCAATGACTGTGAGGATGGCACAGGACTGGGGAGTGTTTAGTTCTGTTATACATGGGTCGCTATGAGTCAGAACCAACTCAACAGCATCTAACAACAGCAGCAACATAATTATAACTATACTAACTAGTTAGCTATCATTAATGAAGAATTAGGCTTAATTGAAATCATGGTGAATTATTTTATACTTGCTTTGAGTATCAGCAAAATACCTTAAGTTTTTTGGAAATTAAACCCATTTTAAAAATGGGTATTGCGAGGTAACATTTAAGAAAATAGAAGAAATTTGAGAAAAAGAGTTCCTGATTTTACTGTCCTCAAGTCTGAGAAAATACATATCTATTTCCTTGGTGTTCAATAGTCCCTAAAACGGTGCTATTTTATAATAGGATACCAATGGCCGTAAGTCGAACAATCCATTTGATTCTCCATCCACTCTGTTTGATACATTTCAATTTCTCAAATAATCTCTAGAGGATTTCTTGTCGTTTGGTGCCGTCAGGTTGGTTCCAACTCATAGCTATCCTGTGTACAACAGAACGAAACACTGCCTGGTCCTGTGTCATCCTTAAAATCGTTGTTAATCTTTGATGTTCATCAGGAAGTGCTTCAAATCCTCTTTGCTTTTAGCAAGGAAGGTTATGTCACCTGCATATGCAGGTTGTTAGTAAGTCTTCTAATTGAGAAATTTATCTTCTCATTTGCAAAAATTGTATAGTCAAAGAGTAAGCTCCTCCTAAATATAGTTCATTCATTTCATGGTTATTCTGCACTCAAATTATACCTAAAAAATAAAGTTGTAGCATAGACAGATAGCCCTAAAGCTAGGTGAAGGCTAAACATGAGAGTGCTTTAAAACGTGGAATTAGGGCATGTGCACAGCATAAAGAATCATAAAAGATGCTGTCTCTTCAAACCTCACCTGTCATACGTACAAAAACAAAACTTTGTGTTTCATCTAAACATGGCATGTAGTTCAAATTTGGTCCATATGATATTCTCTGACTAGAAACTTGCGTCAATTAAATTGGAGTCTTTGCCTAAAACCATAATGTCAAAAATGTCACTTCTTATAGTGTATAACTTTAGAGTAATAAATAAACCCTCCGGTACCCTATCTATTTATCCTTCCTCTCTGTCCCGCCGCACCCCTGGCACCCACTGATCTTTTTTACTGTCTCTGTAGTTTTGCCTTTTCCGAAACGTCACGTAATTAGAATGATACAGTATATAGCCTATTCAGACTGACTTCTTTCACTTAAAAAACAAAACCAGTTACCATTCAGTCAATTCCAACTCATGGCGACCCCATGTGTGTCAGAGCAGAACTGTGCTTCATAAGGTTTGCAATGGCTGATTTCTTGGAAGTAGATCATCAGGCCTTTCTTCTGAGGTGCCTCTGGGTAGACTCACACTGCCAACCTTTCAGTTAGTAGCAGTGTGTTAACAGTTTGCACTACCCAGGGACTCTCACTTAGCATTATGCATTTAAGGTTACTCCATGTCTTTTTTGTGGCTTGATAGCTCATTTCTTCTTATTGTTGAGTAGTACTCCATGGTATGGATGTACTGTACAATGTTTGTTTATACATTCATCTATTGAAGTACAGCTTGTTTGCTTCCAGGCTTTATTGATTATAAATAATGCTGCTATAAACACTGTCTTGATTACTGTAGATATATAGTAAGTTTGAAGTTGAGTAGTATCAGTCCTGCAACTTTGTTCTTCATTTTTGTGTTGGCTGTTGTTTGTCTTCTGCATTTCCATATAAACCTTAGAATTAGTTTGTTTACATCCACACAATAACTTTCTGGGGTTTTGATTGGGATGTGTTGAATCTATAGATCAAGTTGGGAAGAATTGACATCTTAACAATATTAAGTCTTCTTATCCATAAATATGGAATATTTTTCCATTTATTCAGATATCCTTTGATTTCTTTCATCAGAGTTTTGCATTTCAAATTCCAGTTGTTCGTTGCTGATAAGTAGAAATGTAGCTGACTTTTGTATATTAACATTGTATCCTGCAATCTTGCTATAATCGCTTATTAAATCCAGGAGTTTTTGGTCAATTCTTTGTACTTTTCTACACAGACAATCATATCATCTGCCAACAGAGACAGTTTTATTTCTTCCTTTCCAATCTGTGTGCTTTTTATTATTTCCTTTTCTTGTCTTAATAGTGTGTGAGAGGGGACATCGTTGTCTTGTTTTCAATCATCTAGTTTCTCAACATTAAATATAATGTTAGCTGTACATTTTTTGTAGATGTTCTTTATGAGGTTAAGGAAGTGTCTCTTTCATAGTTTGTTGAGAGTTTTTATCATAAATGGATGTTAGATTTTTGTCAAACTGCTTTTTCTACGTCTGCTGATGTGATCATATGATTTTCTTTTAGATTATATTAATCGACTCTTTAAGGAGCCCTGGTGGT